GGTATTTATGTAATTATGTAGTGTAGTGCTGTATATACTTATAAATATGTAACCCTAATTCAGTATTGGAATGAGAAGCATTATTCACAGTTTCATGGTATCAGAGCCGCAATTCGGGACCAAGTCTCTTCTCCAATTTTCTTCTCCAATTTTCGTTTTATTCTCTAGGTCTCTAGGTTTTTAGTCTCTTCTCCAATTTTCGTCTTATCCTCTAGGTCTATAGGTCTTTGCCAACCTCTACCTATGGCTTCTTCAGATTCAAAAACCTTTTCTTTATCTGATCCTCAACCTTCTACCCCAATTCCTCTTTTTAATGCTGTCCCACCCACCACACTCACTCCACCCACTCCAAGCCTTCCACCGACTTATCATGCCTCATCCTCTTCCTTCTTTTCTCATCCCGTGTTCACTGTTTCCAATATCAAAACTTTTGTTCCTGAAACCTTAACCCATGACAATTATATTATTTGGAAGGAGTTGATGATTCCTGTCTTCAAAAGCAAGGGGGTATATGGCCATATTGATGGTACAGATCTATGTCCTCCACCTTCTCATCCTAATCATGCCGCCTGGGTACAGATTGATTACCAAATTTTATCCTGGATTCATGCCACTATTTCCACAGATATACTGCAGATGATTATTCAACCGGGTAAGACTCTTTCTGCCAAGGAAGCTTGGGATGCCATTCACACTTCTTATCAGAGTCAGTTGGCTGCCAAAAAAATGTATGTTAAGCAAGGGTTCGTTTCTCTCCAAAAACAATCCGGCCAGTCTATGTTCCAGTATTTGCAATCTGTCAAAAAGGCAGCAGATAACATGTATGGTGTTGGTGAGTGTTTGACTGACAGAGACATAGTATTTCAGGCTCTTGCAGGACTTGATGCTGAATATAGTGTTGCCAAGAGAACTATTCCGCACAGATCTCCCTTTCCTTCATTTGTGGAGCTTCAATCTTTATTGCTTATTGAGGAATCAACACTGCAAAGAGAAAGATCTACCAGTGCTTTCCCTTTTGCTAACTCCAGTGCACAACAGGTGTTGCAGACCTCGGTTCACTCTTCTGGTATGGGCTATCCAATTCATGAGGCATATTATTCTGGAACTCAGTCCCGGCCTGATTTCTATGGCATGAACCGAGGCCGTGGAAGCTTCTATAGAGGTGGCCGTGGTCACAAACGCGGTGGTCGAGGCGGTCGTAATTTGCGTGGCTCCTTCTCACATTTTGATCGTGGGTTCTATCCTGGAGCACCCACTAATCCAGGGCGTGGTTCCTCATCTTTTCTGAATACTGCTGGGCATCCTTCCTCATCGCAGCACTCATCTTATGGCCATCATTCCCCTCACTTCCGTGGCGGTAGTTTACCTCCATTATTGCCGAATCCGTCCATGGCATCTCTACATGTCACTGCTTGTCAACTTTGTGATCAATTGACTCACAAGGCTCGTGACTGCCCTCTGCTAATTGGCACCAATATTGCCTCAATGCCTTCTGCTCCGACGGCGCTCACAGCCACAACATTCCCTATCGCTCCGGACAGTAAATGGTATATTGACTCCGGTGCTGATACCCATGTCTCTAGTACCCCTGGTAATCTCTCCCACTCCTCTCCTTACTCCGGTTCAGAGTTTATCCAGGTTGGCAATGGTCAATTACTTCCTGTCACTCATTCTGGTAATATAGTGTTGTCATCATCTAGTCATTCCTTTAAACTTAATAATGTGCTTGTCTCTCCGCATCTTCGTAAGAATTTACTTTCTGTTCATCAGTTTACTAAAGACAACAATTGTAGTGTGGAATTTGACTCTTCTGGTTTTTCTGTTAAGGATATCCACTCGAAGAACGTCCTGCTTCGTTGCAATAGTGCGGAGGGACTTTATTCCGTGTCTAGCTCATCTCAACGTCATCCTAAGATCCTTACTACTGCAGTTGTGTCTCCTGATGTCTGGCATCTTCGTCTTGGTCACCCAAGTTCAGCCTCTGTTACTCAATTGGTTCGTCGTGGTTTAATTTTGTCCAACAATAAAGTTCCTAGTTCAATTTCCTGTCATGCTTGTCAACTAGGGAAGCATACTCGACTTCCATTTAGTGACTCCTTGTCAACTACTTCAGCGCCATTTGAGTTAATTCATTCTGATGTTTGGACTTCTCCTGTTATGTCTTTTACGGGTATTCGTTATTATCTTTTGTTCTTAGATGATTATAGTCACTATTTATGGGTTTATCCTTTAAAATCAAAATCTCAAGTGTTTCCAGCTTTTCTTAGATTTTCTGCTTATGTTTCTACTCAGTTTGGTGCCAGGATTAAGGCTTTTCAATGTGATAATGGCCGTGAATATGACAATGCAAATTTTGCTACTTATTTTCAAACAAATGGCATTCATCTTAGATCTTCTTGTCCCTCGACTCCCCAACAAAATGGGAAAGCCGAGTGGATGAATCGAACAATCATAAATATGGTTCGCTCTTTACTTTTTCAAGCAAACTTGCCTAGTGAATTTTGGGTGGAAGCTCTTTATGTAGCTATTCACTTAATTAATATTTTACCTTGCTCTAGGCTACATTTTTCCACACCTCATGAGGTTTTATCTGGCACAGTGCCCTCCTATAATCATTTACGACCTTTTGGTTGTGCTTGTTATCCTAACCTGTCTGCCACTGCTGCCCACAAATTGGCTCCCCGTTCCTCTTTATGCATCCTTTTGGGATATCCTAGTCACCATAAAGGGTATCGATGTCTTGACTTAAAAACCCAGAAAATTATTTTATCTAGACATGTTACCTTTAATGAAACAGAATTTCCCTACTCTCCCTCTATGCCATCCCATTCTCCCTCATTTTTCCGGACTCCCTTTCATTTACTGGACAATACCTCTCCTAGCCCAGCCATGCCACCTACTAATCCCAACTTTCCTAGCCCAGCCATGCCTTCCACTAGCCCAACTTGCCCCGGCCCACTCTCTCTTGGCCCACCTTCACACCAAACTACCACACCCACCAGCCCCACACCTATCGCACCCACCAGCCTTCTCCCGATTTCTGCCTCCGTCGTCCCCAGTCCTGTGCCGCCACCTGCTGTCTCCTTGTCCCTGTTCCTGCCAGATCTGCATTCCCCATCACCATCCTGCGGTGCTGCGCCTCTTGCTTTCGCCCGATCTGGGTCTGCACCTGATGCTTCTCTCTCCGCTGCTTCCATTGGTGATTGCCCTGGTTCTGATGATTGTTCTGTTTCGGCTCCTGCTGCTGCCCCGTCTTCTTTCGTTCCCTCTGCTTCCTCGGCTCATGTTCCTCAACGCACCCATAGCATGGTGACTCATTCACAGGCCGGTGTTAGGAAGCTCAAGATCTTGCCATCTCTGCTTCATACATCTACTGATTTGCAGGAACCCAGGACTTTTAAACAAGCTTGTAATCTTCCAGAGTGGCAACGGGCTATGCAAGAGGAATTTCTGGCTCTACAGCGCAATCACACTTGGGTTTTAGTTTCTCCTCCATCCGGTGCTAATATTGTGGGATCCAAATGGGTATATCGTTTTAAACAGCGAGCTGATGGCAGTATTGAGCGTTATAAGGCTCGCCTTGTCGCGCAAGGGTATACACAGCAGCCTGGGATTGATTATGATGAGACTTTCAGTCCGGTGGTCAAGCCCGTTACCATCCGCACGGTTCTTACACTTGCTATTTCCAAGTCTTGGCCAATTCATCAACTTGATGTCCAGAATGCCTTTCTCAATGGGTATTTATTTGAGCCTGTTTATATGTCTCAACCACCTGGCTTTGTTGATCCGTAGTATCCAGATCATGTTTGCCTTCTCCAACGAGCCCTTTATGGTTTGAAACAGGCTCCTCGTGCCTGGTTCCAGAGGTTTGCTGCTTTTCTTCATTCCTGTGGCTTTGTTCAGGCATATTCTGATTGCTCTATGTTTTTATATCGCTCA